CCTTCAAATTGATTGGGTGTCTCCAGGGAAGCCAAATGGCATCATTCGTGGATATGATCTCTTACGGAAAACATTATATTCATGCCCTAAAACTCAGAAGGACCACAGTGATGAGCTCTGCAAGGCTGTGAGATGTCAAAAACCTAAAAATATCTGTGGACACATTTGCTATTCTCCTGAAGCTAAGGTAAATCTTTTCAAACTAGTTAGTGAATTATGTTTTTCTCACTAAAAACTCCAGATAAAATCACATTCTTCTTACACCATGACGGATCATGATCAATATATCCACTACTCTATCAATAAGATCCCACAGAGAAGAAAGGATACTTATAAAAATCCTATCATCCTTATGAACATTTAGCCTTCCCATTTTTCATTATCTTCATAGGAAATATGAATTTATTAGAATAAGGAACATCCTATATTTGTGTTTGATTGAGTGACTTGAAATTTTCTTTGTAACAAATCCATTCAGCCACAAATGGGTGTTTGTTTACATGACACTGATGAGTAACTGTGTATAGAACCTTTCAAGGTTTGTCAGAAATATTTTAGAATTATGGTCATTTGCAGATTAATGTTCATATTAGTTGCTGTTTAGGAATCAGATCAATAATACAGCCAGACAGAAGAGTTTGTAAATGGCTTTTATTGACAAACAATACAGAAAATCCTTAGTTTGCAGGTAGGATTTCATGTAATAAAATAATGTTCCTATTTGTCAACAACAACATCATACATTCAATGACTAAAACTACTACTAAATTCATAAAATTCACTGCAAAAGAACATAGTAATTAAGAAAGTGAGTTATTGAAGCAATTTGGATCAAAATATAAATTATTATGGCTGACACAAATTTAGCAGTATTTACCATCTAAGAAATTCATAAAGCCAGCAGTTACCAACTATACATTTTTTTGACACTTAGCCTCCAAAATTGTCATTATGCCTAAGTTTTACATCATTTTAAGCCATTAAATATGCACATATTTAAATGTGCACATACGCACATCTGATGAACATACTTTTATAAAATAAAATTAAATTTAGTATTTCTGAGAGGAAGAATATTGGAATAAATTTGCCCATTAAACATGTTCTCCGTGAGAAAGAAATAAAACTTGGGAAAATATTGGGCAGAATACAGAATTCACTTCTCAGTTTTTTCTTTTGTTTCTATTATTTTAATACATATTATGTAATGAGAAGCTGGCAAGTAGAGTATAATTGTTTAGGTATCTGAATTAGTGATTTAAGGTTTTTCCAGTGCAGGAAACAATGTGTTTCGTCAAACTAAAAACTGATTCTGGCCAGAAACTATCTAGTAGTTTAGGTTTTTCTACTTCTCTCCAACTTCTCACCCCAGGAGATACATACTCAAACCTAACCCCAAGCTATAATTTACAGACAATTTTTTTCTTGGAATTTTGATTGACTTCCTTTATTCTCTTTCACTGACAATGCCTGTGTTGTCCCTTTCATCCTTGAAATGAAAAGAAGATGTGGCTGAATCACTATAAACATCAGGGGACCCAAAATAATAATACAAGCCTCACCACGTGATTGCAGCCACGGTTCTCAAACCCCAGCATGTGACCTGCAGGGCTTGTTAAAACACAGGCTTGCAAGGTCCTCCCAGAGATTCTGATTCAGTAGGTCTGGAATGGGCTGTGAAAATGTGCATTTCTTTTTCTTTTTTCTTTTTTTTTTTTTTCCTCCCCACACCTCCTGAAAATGTGCATTTCTAACATGTTCCCAGGGGATGCCTCTGCATATGGTCCAGGGACTACACTTTGAGAATCATTAGATTACAAAAGTGCTTTTGAAAAACATAGAGCAAGGAAAAGGCCACCTATTTGAAAATTAGCCACACACAAATTAGCTCGTTATTGAAATTTCCATTTACGTTTTCTGAGACAATTAACTCGAAGACTGAAGTAGAAGATTAGGAAACACTCTGTTTATGGAGAGACCTCCCAAGAGAAATAATTGCTTGAAAAAACTTTCCCTTTGGGACCCATCCATGATCTAACCCAGAGTGGGCTGAAAAAAAAAGAAAAAGAGGCAGGTGTTTTCAGGGCTCAAGGGGCCTGAGAAAGCACTGATAATGAAAGAATGGAAGTGACCCACTCCTAATGGGCCATTACTAAATAAATATTTGAGGAATAATTTCAAAAGAGGGTGAAAAGTACTGGATAAACTTGCTGAACTAAAAAACCAGATGTATTTAAGTATCCAGAAACACACTATGTATGAATGGGACTTTAATAAATGCTTTAAGATTGAAAAACAAATGGCAAAGTTTTAAGTCAAGAGAGGAGAGTGCATGCTGTTTTATCCTGACCAGCATTTCAAAATCCCAAACACATAGAGAGTTCTAGTTGAACTTTTAAAAATGGAACACAATTTCAAATATGGCATTGAACGGAGAAGTCACCCAATTTATCCTTGAAATTAGACTGACTTTGAATCCTTATTGCTCATAACTAAACCCAGCAAAAGGTATTCATTACAGTTGTTTCAGCAGGGCTATCTGGGGAACCACAAAGGTAGACTTTGAATGTAGGAGCCCAGTTTCTTAGCTTTTAGATGACTTTTGAAAAATGAATGAAGTACTCAGCTAGTGGCCCTGTTGAAGACTTAGAACTTGTACATTCTACAGTTCCTGTGCTGAGCTTGGCTGAAACGTTGGTGCATCTTGGAGGTAGCAATAAGCAAAAAGAAAGAAGGGAAATGCCTCTTAAACAGTGGTTGATTTGCCTACCACAGGAAGCATCTATCCAATTAATGTAACTTAAGCCAAGTACAGGTTCTGAGGCTACATTTCAGCAACATTCAGTGTTTGATTTGTTGTTTATACAGTGTGTCAATCTCTCAGCCCTCAAGTGAGTGTGCAAATAATTATTTGATTGTTCAAGCACATCATTTTTTTCCACAGCTCCTGAAGAAAACAGAGTTAAAAGGGCTTTTCAAAATTAATTTCCATATAAATTTCCTTTTTTTAATGTGGTAGCCTGTGAGATACATATATATATATATACACATATATGTATGTAAATGTTGGACTCTGTTGAGATTGCCTTGTCTGAAGATTGGGTTCATAAATAAGTGGTCATATAAATTATAAGGAAATGCAATTTGTTTTTTAAAAAAAAGGATCAATGAGAGACAATTTTCATAGATGTGGTATTTTCAAATTAAACAATGATTAAAATAAGAACATATGTGAAGGAAATTATCCATTTATAATTCTAAACATCTTTACATTGGAGGCATTGATATTCAAAAGATAATTCACATTTGGAGAATCATAATAGAGCACAAAGCATGGTTGAAGACTAAACAACTGCATTCGTATCAAATAGCATTGCTAGAATTTGAATGATGCTGGAAAATACATTTTTTTATACCTACGAAATGTGAGTCATGTGGTTTCAGATCAAGGCCTTATGAGAAAATAATTATATCACGTGAGCTATGGTGGCATAATACCTTTAATTAAACTGCCGTTTCTTTAAAACTGATCCCGAACTTTCAGGTTTGTTGTAACGGAGTTCTCTATGACCCCCGGCCTGGACACCACTGTTGTGAAGACAAGTATATTCCACTTGCTCTGAATTCAACTGGAGTTTGCTGTGGTGGCCGAATACAAGAGGCACAACCACATCATCAGTGCTGCTTTGGGTATTATGCCAGAATTCTACCAGGTGAGGATCATTTCCAGGTATACTCAAAAATCTGGGGAGCCTGAAAACACAAACACATGACTCATGTCTGTGAACGATCCCAAACACCTCCCTGACGTAAACCGAACCACAAACACATAGCCAATGGCCTGCTTCACACACTTCTTCCTTCAGCTTTGTTGAAATATAAACAAGGCTAGATATCAGCAAAAGAAACAGGGAACACAAGGGACTTACAATATCTAATACACAAGGAAATATATCTGAAGATCTTTTTAACTCCCTTTTTTTTTTGGCTAAATTTTATTAACATAACTGCTGACTGTTCCACTCCATGAGCTGTTCTCCGCTTTCTCCACTTCTACTGTGAACTAGGCATGCATTGTTCCTGGGTAGATTAGAACTGCAGATTCCGTTCATCTGAGAACTCTAGGCCATTGGCAGTATCCTCTCATCTTTCTAGGTCAGACAGGAACAGGATGAAAGAATGCAGCAAAGCCTAGTAAACAGGAATTTTTCCCCCTCATTTTTTCTTTTCTATCAGCCAACTGGACTAGCCATTACTCTCTCAATTTCGACTACTTAAAACAAGGCCTGGTGAATATAATTGAGAATAATGATGATAACAATTAGCATTTATACCAAGTCTCTGGCAGGCTCTGTGATAAAAGCTTTCCATATGGTGCCTTATGTAATCCACAACTGTAGGAAACTGGTATTTTATCTGCAGTTTACAAATAAGAAAACAAGTTTAGAGAGGATCAGCAACATACCCACATTCACACGGGTGAATATGAGTGGAAAAACTAAAATGCAAATATAGGCCTGTCTCTCCCAAATCTGTGCTGTTTCAGGTACTTTACTTACTTCCTCTAACAAAAATACATCAATATATGTTAACAATTTTTTTTTTAAAAGAACTATTCTAGACTTCTAAACTTCTTTACTACCACTATCAGTTACTATTCATCCTGGTAAAGCTCCTGAGAATACAAAGTTTTTTCTACCACATAAGTTTAATACTAATACCTGCTTTAAAAAGCAGAAAATAGATGTGGGAGGAAGAGAAGAAAGCTTAGTTTTTTGGAGGCCTTAGGAAAGCTGAATGTTTGAGATATCTAGTTTAACGTGAAATTTATTCCAAACATCCAGTTCGATGTACCTTGTGTTTAGTATAAATATATCCATCCCAGGAATGTGAAATGAGACATTGTCTTACCTGGGGTCTCTTTTGTGTAACATTGGAGCAAATATGAAAAATGTATGATTAAATACTACACAAGTTTATTCAAAGCCGAGAACCTTCACTCTTATCATTTTCTCTAACGATTCATTGAAAAAAAAAAATCTATCTTTATGACAATGCTATTATTTCTGATTCTCAAGCAAAAATACTTCCATAATGGAATAACTCCTAGTTAACCAGATTTTCCAGGTAAGCAAATATGTTGATGAAAATTAGGATTTTATATAAAAGTGTTAACCTTTTTTATGCTACCACAGTGTTAACAACTAATCAAATACTATAAAAGTTTTACTCTCTCAAAACAATTTCTATTGGGGGAGTTTTCATCTATAGTTCATATCTTCCCTTCCTTGCAAATAAATGCTTTAAAATTTTAATTACAGAGATGAGGTGGGCATTCCCTGTTGTTTAGTTCTTACCAATAGACCATATGGTTTTTCTCTGAAGTCTAGCATAGAACTAAATAATAGTATTTTAATTTCTAAGTCACATTAAAATTTTTGATGTTATGATTTGCAACAAACTATTAAACTCTGAAAAAAATCCTCTGTCCCTTAAAACTAATGAAAACTACTTAGTCGCATCTATCATTGTTTTAACTCGGAAGATTTGCCTGTCACTTTCTCAAATCTAATGCAAAGTGTCAAATTTTGAATGAAGTGCACCATCTACTTTTGATGCATTTCAAAATAAAATTTAATATTTTTTTCCTAAAAGCAAAATAAGCCATGGAAGCCCATAAATCATTTATTGACATTATATAAACCTTTTAATATCTAATTTTTAGAGCAAGAGTTTTTAAAATCTCTATTACAGCCTTACCAGGGTCATTGCCCACTTACTCAAAAGGAAGCCAGTACACTGAGACAGCAGGGGTTACAGCAGAGAAAGAGTTTAATATCCCAAGTGCCATGCGAAGAAACAGGAGAAATTGCTCAAATCCGTTTCCCCAAGAATTAGGGAGAAAGGATTTTTAAAGATAGTTTGGCAGGCAAAGGGCTAGGCAATTAGGTCTGCTAATTGGCTGGGTTCGAGGAGGAACCGTAGGGGTGTAGAAATCGTCTTCTTTGCTGAGTTTGTTTTTGGGCTGGGGCTGCAAGACCAATTGAGTCAGTTCCTTGGAATGGGCCACGGGTCTGGGTGGGTCAGCCAATCCACTGGAATGCGGGGCCTGGAAGATAGCCCAAAAACTAGCCTTAGGTTTCATAAGGGCGATGTTATCTGTGGGAACAATGAAGAAAGCTAAGAATCCTTATGACCATCAGCTGTGCGTGTCCTGAGAGGTGAGCAATGACGGGAGAGCAAGCTAAGGAACAATGGCTGGTTATACATGTTTGTATGTTTCCCCTACCACAGTTTCCACCCTGTGGCCCTTTATTAATTTTATAAAGAGCAGTTTCATCTCCATTTTCTGTCTATATACACATGCTCACTCAGACCTGAAGCATTTTAATATCTACCAAACTGTTGGGCATGCCCCACATTCAGATTCTTCTTCAGTAGCTCATTTTTTCACAGTATTAGAATGCCTACCATGGCGTCAAGAGAAAAAAATGCAATCTCATGGAATAATCAGAGAGAGCATTTTGCTCCAATCATTAATCTCACTGTACCTAAGTGAAGAGATTATCTTTTGACCTCTGTTCTCGGCCAATGGGCTTTGTTAACCAGTTTAATGCTGTTTACATCAAGAAAGTAAGCACGGTGGCCCCAAAACATCTTGTATCTAAATGTAATTAAAATCTAATCCGTAGTCTGCCAGTTCAAGGCTGAGATGGGTAGGGGCATTTTCATATTTACAGGTGAGTCTGAAATTTGGGTTAATAATATTTACTTCATTTTTGTCTTAGGACTTTCCTCCATAACACCCCATAACAAAGGAAACCAGAGAAAAGAATACTAATTTACCCCCTCCCCTTTTTTATAAATATGCTAACAACCCCAAGTAAATGTTAATGTGGGTCATTCTTTGATAAGAATAACAATTAACTGTTAGACTGCATGGTAGCTTTTAGAGAGAAAACATTTTCAAGCCTGGCCTGAAATAGATTCACTTTGAAAGGTTAATGAGAAGGTGACTGATCCTTGTATCTTATGTCTAATAGCCCTTTTTTGAGGGAAAAAAAAACAGTTTTATTCCTCATTGATACAATCCACATCTCTTTTTTATGAGGCCTTTTCTTCTGTCAGTAACTGAATAAGATTCTGAGGGAATCAGGGAAATACAGCTAAAATATCTAAACCAATTAACATTTGTTATACTCAAAAGAGGCTTTTGGTAAAAAAAAAAAAAAAAAAAGTATTGGCTTTCCCCAACATAGATATGTACACTATGTTTTCTCTAAGCCCACTGTTGTCCAAAGCGATACTTAACTAACTGATGCTGGCCAGCACCATGTGATACATTATGTTAAAGTTTACCAACGAGGCACATATGTTCTCTGACTGTGAAGACTTAAAAAATATGACAACTACAGTTCAGACTAAACAAGAGAATTCTGTTTTACCCAGAGGGATGTAACAAATATAGTAACTTTTCTGTTTACAGTAAGCCCATTTCTCCTTTATTGGTCTCTGGTAGCATCATCATGAAAAATTTACTAAGTTCTCTTTTACTTATAGATACCACATTATAGGTGGTATCTATAAGTAAAAGGATTATAGGATCCTTTCAAGGATGATTGACTAGGCCAACTGTCCCCTCAATTCTAGGAATCCGTATCTGGAGGGAAAACTGAGTATGCCATGGCTCACTCCTGGGTATTTACCCTAGAGAAATGGAAACATTACCTTTTTTTAATACGAAAATATTTTTTACACAAAAACCTGCACTTCAATGTTTATAGCAGCTCTATTCATAATTGTCAAAAGCTGGAAACAGTTCAGATGTCCCTAGATGAGTAAATAGGCAAACTTTGGTACAAAGGAATACTACCTAGCAATAAAAAGGAACAAAATATTGATAAATGCTACAGAAGTATTATGCCGAGTGAAAGAAGCCGCTCTCAAAGAGTCACAAACTGAGATTCCATTTACATGACATGCTATGCAAGGCAAGCTATAGGTATGGAGAAAAATATCAGCAATTGCCAAGGGTCATGGGTGGGAAGAGGATGTGACCACAAGAGGATCACATGAGGGTATTTCAAGGGTGATAAAATTCTTCTGTATCCTGATAGTATTCCTTCCTTAAAATTCATAGAACTGTATGCCCCCAAAAGGTCCATTTTACTGGATAATATTTTTTTAAATAATTTTTTTTAAAAAAGACTCTGCCTTAGAATTCTATTTCCATTTTACCAATAAGAAATGTGGGACATAGGAATATGGCCAAGTCACTCAGCCAGTCAAGATTGGAATTTTGATGTTTAAAAATTAGGCCGAGCCCTTAGAGATAGTGTGTTATATAATAATGTGATCATTTTGTATGTGTAACTTAATATATTTTTCTGGTATGCTGATAGAACAAAAAGAAAGCAAATATATCTCCATTAAAATTACAGTGAAAATCCCTATTTTTTAAAAAAGCAAAAATATCCTAGTCAGAGATGACCATTTCAAGCAATATTTTTTTTTTTTTTTTTTTTTGAGACAGAGTCTCACTCTGTTGCCCTGGCTAGAGTGAATGCCGTGGCGTTAGCCTAGTTCACAGCAACCTCAAACTCCTGGGCTCAAGCGATCCTACTGCCTCAGCCTCCCGAGTAGCTGGGACTACAGGCATGCACCACCATGCCCGGCCAATTTTTTCTAGATATTTTTAGTTGTCCAGATAATT